CATATTGCGCCAGGCCTTCCTGTCCTTCACTGCCTCCCTGAGTTTGCTCAGTTTCATGCTCATCCCAAAGCATATATTTGGTTTTTTTTAAATAGATTTCCAAAATGATATTTTGCTGGGAGGCTTGGGGGCGGAGGGGGAGGTATAACGTGATGAGCCGTCCTTTTAAACTGATGTTATTTTCTGTTTTAAATTATAGCATGGATGATGATGATGATGATGATGATGATAATTTATATGCTGCCCGACTCCCAGCGACTCTGGGCAGTTAATATTGATCTGAATGGAAACTGGTTTATGCTCCTGTTCTTTCATATATTTTAACAAGTCTGTATTTTATATTAATTGTAAACTGCCTTGAAGGAACTTTGTTTTTGAAAGTTAGTGTTTCAAAATAAATATATTTATGTGGGTTTTTTTGTGTGTTTACATTTCAGATATCAATTTCAAAACGGGCTGGAGTGTGAGTTCAGCATGCAGAGATTTTAAATAATTCTTTATCGTGATTTTGAAGTGGGAGGAAAAAGGATGGCCAAGGTTTTGGATATTGATAAAGGATCTGAGGGAGGACACAATGAATTTAGCAACATCATTAAATCCAGATCTGGTAAGTTTCAAGTAAATGTTTTTTTCCTAGTAACATTCCACTGTAAAAACAAAGGAAGTGCTATTTATTTGACTAGAATTGAAGGGCCAGACTGCATGTTATGTACAAGTGCATGCTGATGTCCCTTTAAACAGGAAAAACTTGTTTAAGAAGGGTGTGATTGGGAATAGTGGAGCAGCAGTGTAGGGCAGAGCCTTTTAACTCTTTTTTGTCTCTTTGCCATCATCCCCCATTTCTGCTGCTCTCTTTCACTCCCTCCCAAATAGAGTCCCATATTTGTAGTATGAAAAGTATGTGTGTAACACAGTGCTGTGGGATAGATTTCAGCGCCCCAACTGACTTTTCCAACCTGTGGTTTTAACAAAAAAGGGACTGTGGAGCTACCATTAAGGTTGGTGTGTAATGTACAGTTTGCCCCTCTCATTCCTTTCTGGTGCATCTGCTTGTCAAAGCCTCATTAGGGACTCGAATCCCTGCTTCAGCTTGACAAACCTCTTGAGGCAATTGTAATGTAATAATGATAATTACAGGCCTCTGCTTTTCTGCGGTGCAACTCATGTCTGTTTATTTAATCTCCTCCTCCCCATTCCATATTCCCTTGCATCAGGTTTTATAAACTGCCATATGTCCAGTGTGCCTTTATAGAATTTGAGGCTGGGAAAAAGTACTGTGTGCATTATTTAATACCTTTAAATATACTAATGAGGGTAACGGGTGCATAAATCTGCCAGGACAATTTCATGGCTCTCAATTTATTGCCTTATTCCAAAACCAGAATTGTAGCAGTGAGTGGGGAGGAAGGCTTTCTGCACATTTTGGAAGTGGGGGTTTCTTGCTGAAGGTTCCTCAATCAACAAGGTGAAATTGCTCAAATTGAAATTGCTCAGGTATAATCTTGCACCATGCAGGTATCAACCGGAGATAGCTGACATGCATTAATGCAGAAAATGTGGTTTTTGATAAAATGCTTTTGGATTCCAACAAACAATTCTACTGGGTATGTTTTCTGTGAATGTCATCCCCTTGTAACCTGATAATTGAAAATCTAAGCTTTATTTATCAGATCAGATAAGACAGTTGGGCTAAAATCTAATAAGTAGTTACTAGGAAGTAGTCCTGTTGATTGAAATAGTTTTACTACCAAGTAGATGTGTGTAAACCTGTTCTCTCATTTCAACTAATTTAACCAGAAAGGAAGTTTTAAAATTCTATTTACAAAAATCAAAATAACTAAGTTGGCCTATCTACCTTTGTGGATTGTCCTGTCCTCAATTTATTTATTAGTTTGTGTACCTGAGACAAGGACAGAATCTGGAGGAGAATTTCTTGATGGAAAAGACTCCGTACTTCATAGCACACTAGGCAACAAGTTAAAAACCTGTTGCAAATTTGACATCTGTATAGTTGACCTTGATTACTACGTTCTTGGGCCACAAAGTGTGTGTGAGAGGGCTAGGAATAAGAAATAGGTGTGTGAATTCCTACACTGAAATGAATTTGGTTCAGTATTCAACACTGTCATATAGAAGTGATTCGATGTCTAGTTTTTACTGTAAGAATTCTCTTTGATAAATTATACATAAAGAAACTGGCTGATTTAATAAAAATACAAAATGTTCTTTTCAGTTGTATATTTATGCTATCTTTGCTGAAAGCACTTAATATTTTTATAGCCAAAATGTTATTTGTTGTCATCTTAAATTAACACATTAAATTAAGGTTTTACTTTGAATACAGAAGATGTTTTCATAACATCAGGGGCCAAAGTGCAGCAATATTTATTTATTAAATATAACCCAACAGTTGTGTTTTTTTTTTTAAATTCAGCTAGAGAATGGTAAATATTAGTAATAACTTCAACCTGTTTTTGTTTTCCACTTAGATCATTACTAAGTGGAAAAAAAAAACCATGTTGATGATATTTAATCTTAAGTGGAAAATATCCCTTGGCATTTCATTTCCCACCTTGTAATGTTCAACAGTTATTTGTTTATACTTTTACTTTTAAAGTATTTTTCAAAAAATGCAAATACAGTGGTACCTCGGTTCACAAACTTAATTCGTTCCGCGACTCTGGTCGCGACCTGAATTGGTCACGACCCGAATCAAATTTCCCCATAAGGTTCAATGTAATAACGGTTAATCCGTTCTGTACCATATGTATTTTTTTTTTTTTAA